CAGGTTAAGATCCTCCCTGGTAAGCCAGCTCGTGGGCTACACAGAATATTAGAAATGGGTTAGAACAATATGTAAGAGCTAGCCAATAAGAAACTGGAACTAGCCGGGCCAGGCAGTGTTTGAAAGAATACAGTTTCCGTGTAATTATTTCGGGCATAAGCTAGCCATGCAGGCGGCCGGGTGCCGGGGTGCCCTGCCGCAGCTCCTATTTCAACAGGTTGTGAAGGAATAAATAGCTGACCAGCCAACTGAAAGTCAGCTTGGGTTGATGCTGAACACTTGTGTGACCTGGCTTAAAAGGCTTCTGAGTACAGGCCGATTTGTCTCCATCTATAAAAACAGTGTAACCGCCTATATTTGTTTTCTTTACCACTACAGGTACCCTGGAGCTGGAGTTACAGACAGTGGTGAGCCACCATCTGGGTGCTGGGAATCGAACCCCATTCCCCTGGAAGAGCAGCTAGTGCTCTTAACCACTAAGCTACCTCTGAAACTCAAGAAAAAAATAATAATTACTGGTTCCAAGATACCAAAAGAAAGCCACAAAATTGAAGTGAATAAATATTTAATTGACACATTCCTACTTTATTGATTGTTAAATGTAATATCATAAAATATTCATTAATTTATAAATGTCTTAGAGTTTTCATTTTTTAACCTCCTGAAAATTCCCAAGTATATATACAGTGTTCTAACAAGTCAATCACTTATAAATTAGATGAAGTTCACTGCAGCCAAGTAATTATAAAAATAAAAATAAAAGCTCTGTTTAGAGTAACAGTGGTGATATATATTAGAAATGTAGGTGTGTTTATTGTTTTTATTGAGCTATATACTTTTCTTTGCTCCCCTCCCTTCCTCTCCCCTTCTCTTCTTTCCTCTCCCGTGATCCCCATGCTCCCAATTTACTCAGGAGATCTTGTCTTTTTCTACTTCCCATGTAGATTAGATCCATGTATGTCTCTCTTAAGGTCCTCTTTGTTGTCTAGGTTCTCTGGAATTGTGAATTGGAGGCTGGTTTTTCTATGTTTTATGTCTAAAAGCCACTCCTATTATCCTTATTTGCTAGCTCCTATTATTTTAGTTTTCATTGTTGCTGATATTATTGTGTGTGTTTTCACCTTCTTTGGGATCAATTGTCTGTGTTTTTGTTGATGTAGCCAATTTCCTTGGGTTGGAGTTTTCCTTCTAGTTCTTTGTGTAGGGCTGCATTTGTAGCTAGGTATTGGTTAAATCTGGTTTTTCATGGAATATCTTGTTTTGTCCTTCTATGGTGATTGAAAGTGTTGCTGGGTATAGTAGTCTGGGCTGGCATCCATGGTCTCTTACTGTCTGCATAACACTTGACTAGGACCTTCTGGCTTTCATTGTCTCCATTGAGAAGTCAGGTGTAATTCTGTAGGTCTGCCTTTATATCTTACTTGGCTTTTTTCCTTTGCAGCTCTTAATATTCTTTCTTTATTCTGTATGTTTAGTGTTTTGATTATTATGTGTTCAGGGGACTTTTTTTTTGATCCAGTCTATTTGGTGTTCTGTAAGCTTCTTGTATCTTCATATCCATATCTTTCTTTAGGTTGGAAAAGTTTTCTTCTATAATTTTGTTGAATATATTTTCTGTGTTTTGAGTTTAATTTCTTTTCCTTCTTCTGTCCCTATTATTCTTAGGTTTGGTCTTTTCATGGTGTCCCATATTTTCTGGATATTTTGTGTTGAGCATTTGTTAGATTTAACATTTTCTTTGACCAATGAGTCTATTTTCTCTATTGTATCTTATGCGCTTGAGATTCTTGCTTCCATCTCTTCTATTCTGCTGTTTATGTTTGCACTTGTGGTTCCTGATAGTTTTCTCATAATTTCTTTTTTTTTTCTTTTTATTTTTTCTTTCTTTCTTTCTTTCTTTCTTTTTTGTTTTGTTTGTTTGTTTGTTTGTTTGTTTTTCTATAGCTTTGGAGCCTGTTCTGAAACTAGCTCTTGTAGACCAGACTGGCCTCGAACTCACAAAGATCTGCCTGCCTCTGCCTCCCGAGGACTAGGATTAAAGGCATGCACCACCACCATCCAGCATAACTTGTGTTTCTATAATTCCCTTGGCTTGTTTTTTTTTTATTGTCTCTATTTCAGTTTTCAAGTCTTGAATAGTTTCTTTCATATGTTTGATTGCTTTTTCTTGGTTTTCTTTAAGGGATTTGTTGATGTCTTCCTATTTTTTGTTTGTCTTTTCTTCCATTTCCTTGAGGAAATTTCTTATTTCCTCTTTCAGAGTCTCAAACATTCTCCCGAAGTTATTTTTTAGGTCATTTTCTTCTGCTTCATCTATATTTGGTTGTTCAAGTCTTGCTGTTGTAGGGTCACCAGATTTTACTGGTATTGTGTTGCTCTTTGTAGTATTGCATGTGTTCTTATCTTGTCTACCCATCTTTTCCTCTAATTGGTATAGTTGGGGCTGTCTGTGACTCTGGTGATCAATCTTCCAGGTGCCAGTGGATCCAAGGCTCAGATAGTTGCTCCTCCTGGTGCAGTCAGTGTCACAGTTCCAGTTACTCTGTTGGTCACTCTGTTCCTGAAGGTTGCTCAGCGCTCCCAGGGTTTGCTCCAATCGTGTGGAGTTCGCTCAGACCTGCTCTGGCTTAGATTGTCATCTCAGACCTCTTTCTGTAAATGTTTCTGATCTGGATCCACTCCTGTGGAGGTCCCTGGCTTGGGGTTGGTCCTCCAAAGGTCCCTGGCTCAGGCCTACTTACACCCAGACTCACAGAGATTTCTGGTTCCTGTCTACTCAGAGGGGGATAATGTGGAATATTCCTTTACATTGTGTGAATATACTTTATTGTTATTGGTTGAATGAAGAAGCTGAATAGCCAATAGCTGAACAGAATAAGTTTAGGTTGGAGATCCAAACTGGGAATGCTGGGAGAGAAAAAGGACAAAGTATGGAGTCACAAGCAGACACACAGAGAATCAAGATGGGCATGCCATACTGAGAAACAGTACCAAGCCATGTGGCAAAGCATAAATAAAAAATATGGGATAATTTAAATGTAAGAGTTAGCTAGTAATAAGTCTGAGCTATTGGCCAAGCATTGACATTTAATATTGCTTCTGAGTAATTAATTGGGAGAGGCCACCAGCACAGGAAAACTCTGCCTACACTTTGATGTAGAAAGTCCTTCTGCATATGTGTTGCTTTTATTTGTTAATAAAGAAGCTGCTTTCAGCCAATGGCTTAACAGAATAAANTACACACACACACACACACACACAGCAGGCAGAGTTAGAGAGAAGCCATGTAGCTGCCCACAGGAAACAGATGCACCAGAACCTTGCTGGTAAGCCACAGCCCTATGGCAATATACAGATTAATAGAAATGGGTTAATTTAAGATATAAGAGTTAGCCAGAAATATGCTTAAGCTATTGGCCAAACAGTATAATATAGTTTCCAAGTGATTATTTGTTTCTGGACAGCTGGGAACAAATGAGTAGTCTCCTCCAACAACACATTGTGATAATACAAAGGCAACAGCAAAGTGCAGAGTAACATAAATTACAGTGTGCTACTGTGCAGATGAATGTCCAATCCAGTCTCACTTTACTTGTGAATGCCTGGAAACTTCCTGGGGGACTAAGTGATCTCCAGAGACCGTTCTGAAGAGCAGAACTGAAATGTAGAGTTGTAGATAGTCACTTTTGAAATCATATACTCTTTTAGGTACCATTTAGATTTTCCGTCATGACTTATTTTCATTGCAATTTAATACTAATCAGAAAATCACAGAAACCTGTCTGAAGACAGAGCCACCAGCATGAGTTTGAATCTTTGCACCACCATTACAGTATGGTCCTGGATTAGTTTCTTGCTCATTCTAGGTTATAGGTTTTTTTTTTAATCTAAAAAAAGGTGAAGCTAGTAATGTAGTTGCAGTGGTTTGAATAAGAATGACCTCTATAAGCCCATATATTAGAGTGTTTGGTTCCCAGTTGGTGGACTATTTAGGAAGGATTAGCATGTGTGGCCTTACTAGAGCAGGTGTGTCCTTACTGGAGGAGGTGTGCAACTAGGTATGAGCTCTGAGGTTTCAAAAATCATGACAGGCCTGTTCTTACTCTTTGCCTGCTTTCTATGGATGAGGATGTAAGCTCTTAGCTACCGCTCCAGCACCACCATGCCTGTATGCTGCCATGTTCTCCATCATTATGGTCATGGACTCACCCTCTGAAACAGTAAGCCAGCCCCCAGTTAAATGCTTTCTTCTGTAAGCTGCCGCATTCATGGTCCCTCTCACAGCAATAGGAGGGTAACTAAGACACCAATGTTGAAAGTTTCAAAGTCTGTCAGTGCCATGACTACGTAAATGTATTTTATATTTAGAGGCAGACAGCATCGTGCACTCTTCAGGGCCAGGATGACCCACTGAGCTTTCACACAGCAAACTTTTTTCTCCTTTAGTGTCTGCTATCAACAAAGCGGAGTACAGTATCTATCACCTTGCTGTGACAGGCCCTTGCTCCTTTTGTCTCCTTTTCTGTCATTAACCAAATGAACTGGAAGAATGACATTGCTTTTGAAGAGACTATCTGTGGTAAATCATTCTTATGCAAAAAATTTTAATTCTCTAAAAACCCAGTAAACCATCAATTAAGGACCAGAGTTCCAAAGACTATTCTAAGCCATCCTCCCCCTGCATGGCTGATCACAACCCAAGTTGCATACTTTGTTTGGAATGTTGACATCACTTCCTCCTGCCAAGAGCCCTTGACTGCATTCCTCATGGCCTCCTTCAACAGCCAACATGAATGGAGTTTCTCCATTCTGACACAAAGAAAAAGAAGTTAAAATTAATTTCCCCTTGGCATGCGATAAAAGTACTTTGAGAAAGAGCATGCTTCCAATATCTTTTATGCATGATTCTTTTGCTGTTGTTAGAATATATGTGCCAACATATACTGCCAAGACCATACACTTGGTACAGTCAAATCATATGATAATTCTAGAAGGGCAGGCTTCATTTTATACTCATTTTATAGGCAACAAAACCAAACAGCTGGCCATCAGAGCTTCCATCATCTACCTGTTCTAGCCTACTCAGTCCAGCTATTTTCAATTTCTCTGTCTTGCTGACCTGGTCAGTCCCAGGACACATCATGTCTTTTATGGACATGCATGTGTGCACATGTACATACACACCCCAGGAAAACAACAACGACAACAACAAAGAAGCCAACTCTTTCTGCCAAAGACCACTGGAATGGCAAAACAGAGATGACATGTTACCTCCTATGTGAAGGCTGTGGTTTCTGAAATTGATTCTCATGGTATATTGTGTATACAGCTATAATACTATGTTTTCCCCATGATTTTCTTGTCCTGTAGGGCCCCAGAGTAAAAATACATACTTATTCTGAAAACAAATGACTTCTTTCTCTTCCTCTTCTTATCATCATCATTATTGGAAACATTTGTTTTCATTCAATATATTCTGATCACGGGTTCTCTTCCCTCAATTCCTTCCAGGTCCCCCCCTCCCCAATCTCCCCACTCACCCAACTCCAGGCCCTTTCTTTCTCTCTTTCTCTTTAGAAAACAATTGGGCAAACAAACAAACAAAACAGAATAAACATACACGCACAAGAAAAACACACAAACAAAACCCATAAAACTACAAAATCCCAAACCATAATATACAAACAAAAACCAATCAGACAAAAAATATGGAAACAAAGCAATATGAAACAAAATGTCTACAAAACACCATTGATTCATTTCGTGTTGGCATCTACTGCTGGGCATAGAGCCTCTGTGAGTGCGATTGTATATCCAGTGAGATTCCATTGGAGGAAACCAAGTTTTGCTTTGTAGGCAGTTGTTAACAGCGAACAGCTCCTTAGAGCTGGAAGCTTGCGACCACTTCCCCCATCAGTGTTGGGACCTCGCTGGGCTTGAACCTGTGCAGGCTCGGTGGCTGCAGTCACCATCTCTGCTGTGTCTGGAAGACAGTGTCTCTGGTGAGCTCCCTCGAGGTAAATTCAAATGGCTTTCGAGTGAATCAGCAGTTTCCCCAGTGGAGGACACTTGAAGAAAACAGCAAGATCCTGCATGTCCACCTACCTCATTGGTCTCCTTTACTTCAGGCCACTGAGTTAGTAGCACCTGCACCGCTGGGCTGTGGCCATGCATGGCAGCCAGGTGCAAGGCAGTGTTCCCCTCCTGAAACAGAAATTCATTCCTGGTGAAATTGCCTGTGTCGAAACACACCTTCCAACACCAGGCTACAGGGTGATTTCTGGAAACTTTTTCTTTGGTTAAAGCAGAATATAGACATTATCCAGTTTTAAGTAAGGCTTATCAATTTTTAAGTTTTAAATGAAAATCCTTGGCTATTTAATACAGTAGGAGAAAAAAATCATTCTTGCTTAAATTTGGTACTATTAAAAAAAGAAGAAGAAAGAACAACAAAAATAATTGGTCCTAGCCTATGTTAGGTACCCTGATAAAATCAACCTGAGCAGTAATCTTGGTAACACATGTCAAAAGATATATGGTGCAAAACTCCTACACTTTTAATTTCTCATCTGGGAATTTATCTTCAGGAATTATCAAAGATGTCCATGCGGATGGCTACCATGTGAGTTTTCCGTTCACAAGTAATGCGGAACCAAGTCCAGAGCAGTCCTCAAGGAAGGACAGGAGAAGGTTGGGACTCCCCAGGAGTGGATCCTTCGTTTATGAAACAATGCCTCACAGGCAACTTGGAGGCCAAATTCATCAAACTTCTGATTTAGAAGAGCCAAACTCAACATGAAGTAGAAAAATCCATGAAGTAAACTAAATCCAAAACACTTATGGATGGGTGTTGGTGCCTCCAGTACTCGGGAGGCAGAGGCAGGCAGATCTCTGTGAGTTCAAAGCCAGCTTGGTTTACAGTGTGAGTGCCAGAATGATCAGGTCTACACAGTTAAACCCTGTCTAGAAATTTTTTTTAAATGTGTATGGAGCAAAAACTACCAATCATACCCAGTCCTGATGGCACATGCCTTTAATCTCAGCATTCAGGAGGCAGAAGCTGGTGGATTTCTGTAAATTCTTGATATGTAGCCTAGCCTACATATTAAGCTCCAGGACAACCAGGATTACATAAGAGATCAGTCTCAAAAACAACAACAACAACAAACACCTACCAATTATGACAACCTACAGCAAAGGTGGATGGATTTTTATCTGCTAAATCCATGATTCTCTCAGCAGTAACAATTTAAGAACTCTACTGTGGACCAGAAAAGAACAGTCATGCAATCTGCACACTGATTGTTAATCCCCACACCAATTGTTACTGCTCTTTGTTCTCAGCTAAAAAACAAAACAAACCGCTAAGTCCAACTCACATTGTCCTTTTCTGAAGTCTGCAGATGAAGGAAGATAAGCTTTTCAATCATTTCAACATGGCCCCTCTCTGCTGCCAGAAGAAATGGTTTTCTTCCTCTCTGAAATCAATCACAAATTCTACATTTATTTCACATTCAGCAAATAATTGGAGTAACTGGCAAGGAGTGGGTAGCATTTGAAAGGTAAAGAGGCAGCTAAGATGGTGCTTCGTGGACATATATCAGTTCTAGGCCCTTCTCATGGGAAGGCGATGATAATTCCTCTAAAGTGAAGCCAGATCCAATTCTGAATTGTCATTGTTGTCATCAAAACTGTGGGAACCCCAAAACAACAGCGAGTCCATTCCATGGTAACAAGAGAAGCACTCAGAAGAGGTTCTCTGAAGTTCCAGAGAAGGACTGTATCACAGCCTGGTGATGAGATGCCATTTCAAGAGCCACAGCCTAGTGATCAGATGCCAGTTCAAATGCCACAGCCTAGTGATCAGATGCCAGTTCAAATGCAGCAAGAATTCCTGACTGCATCAACCGTTCTCCCGCTCAGCTACCTCCTCCTCCGATCCTGCTGGAAGCTCCTCGGCAGCATCCTAAATCTTCCTGATAAGAACACACGAGACAGAAATTCTTTAGCATTTAACACACTCAGAAACAACATTTGGTCAGATAAAACTGCATTTTGTTTTATTTTTAAAGATGTATTTATTTTTACTTAATGTGTACACGTAGACCTTGAGTGTATGTATGTATGTGTATCTTGTGCATGCACGATCCCCTCAGAGGCCAGAAGAGAACGCTGGGTCAATAAGGGAGGACACTCCCATCAGAGTTGGGGTACAGGACACATCCTGACACCAAATTCTCAGCACCAAGGAGGTTTATTACCTGGGAGGGGTGGTGAGGGGTGGAGGAGCCACAAAGACACACAGTAAGCAGCAGCAAGCATTTTTTTTTCTGGAGTAGGGTTTTAAGGGGGAGTCTGTGCTAGGTAGGGTGAGTTGGTAACCTGATCGAACATGTTAGCCAAATAATTGATTGTTGGACCTTTGTGTTCTGTCTCAGTAATGAGTCTATTATCAAATAAGAGAATGGACCTCAGGGGATAGCTTTAGGAATGTAATCTAATGATTTTTAGCAAGGGGGAAAGAGCAAAACTTGTGTGTGCCTTGTCTGCCATGCTCGGGCCTAGAGCCCTTCAGGATCACCTGGAACTGGAGCTAAAAACCATTGTGAGCCTCCATGTTGGGACTAAGAATTGAACCTGAGTCCTCCAAAAGAACAGTAAGTGCTCTTAACCACTGAACCTTCTTTCCAACCTCCCCTCCCCGCTCAATCCAATTTGAGGCCATATTCACAGGCTGTTATATTCCTAAGAATCAGCCAGAAAACTCTTGAGTGTGAGCCTGTTTGAAATGGAAAGGAGAACCAAAGCGGTGGCATCCAGAAACTCCAGTGAAGAGAAGTGTTTGTAGCTGGTTCCTCAAATATAGAATTCTTGAATAATGGTAATTTCTCTAAGTTTACCTTTTGGTAACGGAGACTGCCTTTGCAATACCCAAATGTCATGAAGAAAAAGGAAAAGATACACAAAAACTGAATTTTTAAACTTGAGCTATTTTTAAAAAAGAAAAAGGAAGCTGAATGACAAAACAGCGATGAATCTTCTTCAACTGAAAAGGAGGAAAATTCAGCACGGCTTCGTGTGTTAACTGAGAGCTTACCAAGATGCCTTTAATGTAAAGAGGGCGCAACAGTCTATAAATAGGGCTCTGAATCTGCCAACTAATCGCTTGCTAGCTATGTTTAACAAAAAGATCATGCCACTCTTTGCTTATAAGGGAGGAAAAAGGAAGAGGAAGTGGCTAAAATAGCCCAGTGCCTATTGGACAAAGTGGAGAACATCTGCTAAGATCAGCTGTGTGGAGATCTGGCTCCATGAATGTGCAGAAGCCAGAGAAACAAGCCAGCACCAAGAAGTTCATGCAGTTCATTGTTCTTAGGCTACACATATTGTCAATGAGAGCCTCCATCTTCAGTTCTTCAAAGTCTGAGGCTTCCCTGCCCTCCTTATTCCCAGGAAGTCACCAGCGGGTAAAGGGAAGGAACAGACAGGTTAGAGCCACAGTCTCCTGCCTACAAGTCGGGCTATGGTTGAAGGATAAAATCTAGTCCGTCTGAAAATGACAGATGGATAGTTACTGTATGTGATTTAACACAAGTATCCTCAAAGGACAACAGCAAACGAAAAATCATATAAACAGCTTGTGGTGATTCATCTTATTTATCAACTTGATTGGCTTATGAGCCGGCTAGGATGTTAGTAAAGCACCCCCAGGCATGTCTGGGAGGGCGTCTCCAGGCAGGACTTGAGGCTTTGACCTAATGAATGGTTTGTTCCACTGATGGACTCACATTTTGAATAGATTATTGGGGGTGACAGAACTGTGGAAGATGGGCCTGGTTGAGGGATGTCAGGTCACTGAGAACCTGTTCTGGGACCTGTCCTGTGCTCGCTCTGTCCTACTGTGCGCAGCTCTGCTTCCTGGCCACCAGGGTGGTAGCTGCCGTGCTCTGCCACACGCTTCCTGCCGTGACAAATAAAATCTCTGTAATACCGAGCAATGATGCGTCTGTCCTCGGAACTGTTCTCTTGGGTATGTGTGCCTTAGGGAGAACAAGCCCGAGTAACACCTAAATCATGAAACGGGGAACAACAGGCACTGCTTATATACCAGATATAGCCATGGCAACTCTTCTAAAAGAAAGCATTTAATTGGGGCTTAACAGGTTTTAGAAGCTTTGCCATCATGGCTGGACAAAGGCAGACCTGACCTGGCGCTAGAGAGGAGCTGCAGGTTCTACATCCGGATAGGCAGGCAGCGGGAAGAGCCAGACACTGGGCCTGGCTTGAGTATTTGGAGCCCCAAAGCCCACTGCCAGGGGCCACGTCAGGAGAGCAGCAGGTGGCAATTGACTTCAGGGGATCAACCCACTCACATGCAAGGTACTGATGGGTGAATCTTGGATGGGCAAGACCCCAGAGCCTCGACCTCAGAATGGCTCTTGCTGTTGCCGTGTCTTTACATGTTTGTCACTGCTATTTTTCTCTGGTATCTGGCATGGGTGTAGGGAGATCTCCACTGCCTTTAATATGGTATGATTATCTCATGAAAATATCTCATTCTACTGGACATTTTTACTGGTGGATTATTATGAAGATGAATTCCTCCTAAAATGTACTGTTTAACTGAAGCAATGATATTATGCAATATAATGTTAGTTTAAATAGAATCTGATGATTGAGAGTCTTTAGTAAATACAGTAAGGAATTACAATAGACGTTAGCTTAGTGGAGAAACTAACATAGGTAAAAGCAAGGTATGGTGTTGCCCCTTTCCCTGATAAAGCAGGGGCTGCAGAGGATAGAAAAGAAGTGCAAGGAAATTCACACAGCTAGTTTCTCTTGAAAAACCATATAGACTGTGGCTTAGGTTAATAAATAAAACAACTGAGTCCCAAAAACTAAGAGCACTCAAGTTCTTTTAATCTTAATGTTGGGAGATGTGGTCACAGGTTTCAGCGTGCATCATAGCTGAAACAAAGCTTTAAATATGTCTTGAGGGTAGATTAAGATGTTTTTGCTAATGGCTTCAAGGTGAAAAACCTGGGAAAGGTTAGAAACACACATAGCTGAGTGAGGGACTTGTTAAGGTCAGGAAACAAGAACAAAGCAGCCTTAGAGTGGTATGGGATTTGTGTTTTAATAAAGAAAGCTTGCCTGCAGAGCAGGAGGTAAAACAACCACACTAGTCAGCGATACAGGTCAGGTAGTGGTGCATACCTTTAATCCCAGCACTAGAGAGGAATATTAGACGGGAGGAGACAGCTCTCACTCTCAGTCTCAATCTGAGGATTCGTGGAGGCAGGAATCCATTTCAGTCTGAGGTAAATATAAGAGCCAGGGGCTGGCTGCTTTGCTTTTCTGATCTTCAGGCAAGCTTTATTTATTAAAACACAAATACTATACATCTATGCATCCCAATTATAATTAGCTGGATTGCCTTTTGTGATTGGTTGGTAATCAAAATGATGATTAATTCCTAGCATCCATTTCTGCCTTCAGCTTCCTCATAAAAAAAAAAAAAACTGTTGATAAATGGGTATGCACCCTGAGGATTTAAAGCAGAGACGACTGATAGTTTTTGAATAATAAAAGTTTAGGTTTATGATTCTTTTAAGATTCCTTATTAGATTACCTTTTGAGATAAATAATAAAGTGATTGATTCTTTCTTTGTAATGACATAATACAGCTGCCAGTAAGAGAACTAACTGAGAAAAACACCTTGTTGGCTTACACTCTGTTCATCTATAACAAGTTGCTTGGGTATGAATATATGTGGGTTCTTGGAATAATTTGTTTTTCATCTATAATACATAAGATGTTTAATCGTGTAAGGGAAATGAGAAACATGTTTTTTTTTTTTACTTGCATTCATTGCATCATCCACTTGAAAAATAGAATGTAACTACATTATAATTTTTATACACTTGAAAGATTCTGCTGGGATGTATAAGCTATAAAGGAATAAATAAAGTTAGAAGACAGACATCAAGAGAAATAGGATGGATACATCTAAATAGAGTTAAGGAAAGAAATAAAGAACAGAGACTTAAGTTTTACTTCCTCAGATAGAAAAGTCAAGCTGAGTGATGTCTATTGACTCCAATGGCTCTCCCTCAACCCCTGAGCTGCCAGAGGACAATCCTCAAGGGAGCAGTAGCCCACCCCCAGTGACATACTTCTTCCAACAAGGCCACACCTCCTACTGGCCACTCCCTGGTGACCAAGCATTCAAGTGCATGAGCCTACGGGGCCATTCTTATTCAAACCACCACATATACCATACATCCACATAATCCATGTATTCATTGATTTTACTGAGTATGCATATATGCAGATATTGTGCTATCAATAGAGTAGCCAGTATCTCTCAGTATCAGTAAAGCAGTAGAGAGGGCTCCTTCTGAGTAGAGAGGCACAGAGGCACTTATTCAAATTGAAAGGCATCAAGAGCTGGTGACAGGGTGGAGTACCACTTAG